CTATATAATGTAAAATCTCCTGCCCTCTCACATTGGTTCCATGATTGATTAAATCCTCATGTGAATTTCAGATCTCTAATAAAAGATATAGCTGGCCCTGTGTTGGAGATGAATGCTTTAAGAACCATTATTTCATATAAGAAAGTAGTGAGTTCTGATTTCAGAGGAGAAATAGCTGATATTAACAGGAAGTTTTTTCTTTTTGAACTGTAGGAGTAAATTAAGGAATCATGCTGTTTCTGTGTTCAGTTAGTTTAGCACTACAAATGTATACTGAGCACTCAACATTGAACAAAATATGCTGCTAGGTACTATGGAAGATGCAAAGGTTAAAGGAGCTTCATGCTGACCATGTGCTGAGCAGAGGTGCTAGGAAGGCAAGAAAAGGTCTGTCTTAGAATTAGTAAAAATCAGTAATAGATAAAACAGGTATATAATCTCTAGTAGTGAAAAATTTTTTGAATAGTTTTTTTTAACTCCAAACAAAATGAACAGTCATTGAATTAGATATGTGCATCAGAATTAGAAACATCGAGAAGGTCCACGGTAAGGAATGAAGAGTACAGGCAGTCATTGAGGTCAGACTGACTTGTCTTCAAGGAGTCTCTGAGAGAATGTTTTTAACTTGCATCAGGTCTTTGGTTTGGCCCAAGCTTTGCACAGTGGCAGTAATGTAGCCAATCAGGTTTATTGAAGGTGAGACTATTGCAAATTGAAAATGTTTCCAGAGTTAACTAGGCCAAGAAGCAATGACCCTTACTTCCAGACTTGAAAGTGATAGTCATGGAAACCAGGTTGACACTTTAGTCCCTTATGTCAGGTGTGTCAAAGGACTCTTCACATCCTTTCTCCCCTATCACAACCTATATGGCGAAGTGTTGGTTGACGAGAGGGAACTCTGAGCAGGAAGTTAGTTGGATGGATTGTATCATCAAAGTATCTGTTCCCAGAGGACTAAATCCTCAGGTCTGTTAACCAGGAAACGCCTGCTGATAAATTCTTCTTTGCCTCTCAACCCTCCCAGTATTTCTAGGAGGCAGTGACTACCTCCCTCTTCTTTTCTGCTAAAATCTTTTTTTAATTTTAGGTATAATCTTATTAGTTAGGATACAGCTTTATTTTAAAATCAATCATATTTTCTTAGGCTGAATCTGAAAGATTGTTTCTTAGGGTAAGATCAACCATCAGCAGAAGTATGAAGTATTTATTGGTTGATAAAATAGGTAAAGCTTGTATTTCTGTAAGTCTTTTTCTAGTTTACTCTTATTTTTTAGAAAATAAACTTTCAGTTTTAAAATGGGAAAGCATTCTCATATATCTCTTAGTTATATATGCCTACTAAAGAAAGTCTTTGCTGCTTTGATCACTAGACTGTAATCAAGGCAAATATTTCTTTGGAAATACGGTATTCTGATTGTAGGCAACATAAAATAAAAACTTGGTTTGTATTTTTCTTGAAGAGTGCATATTTATGAGTGGCTGAATTTCATATAAAATTAAGAATTAATAAGTTATATGTATACTCTTTAAAGGTAGAAATTATCTTATATGTCATTTTGTAATGGTCACTAAAGGTATGGAATCTTTAAAATTGAATAGAATTATGTGCACCAAAATGTATTTTAATTACTCTTAGTCTAAAATCTTCTACATTTTCATGCTTTATGAAACACAAAAAGTATATTAAACCTAAGTTGGCAGTTGAAAATAACTTACAGTCAGTGTTGCAGCCAGCCGTAACTTCTTCCTCTTCCAGTTTGCTGTTTCTTTTGTGCTTATAACTGTGATGCTGTGTTGCTCTGAGTGTGTTGTATATATGTCAGTCCAAAAACTATGTGACGTGTTTGGTTGATCACATACAAATATTATACTTTTTTGTATAACATCATTCAAGATAGCTTGAGTGTTAGGTTAGCATCTGCTGTTACTAGAGAAAAAAAATAGCCTTAATGTTTACCCTCATAGATTGTGTTCATAAAGTCATGGTAGACATCATGCCCTCTGATAGAATGACCATCTACTTATGATGACTTAATCGGTAATAGTCTCCTTTTCTCTAGACCCAGATTCTAGAAGGATGTCCAAAACACTTGAAAATATAAGTTTTCTCATGTGAAGTCTTTCAAGTTGATTCTTTTATTGCCACAAATAAGTTCCTCAAAGTTATAATGAAGTTGTAAATTTCTGCATAGTAAAAATTTCCTGTAATATTAGCTAGTTACAGTAGGCTGACCTTGTAATTGCTTTTTCAATCCTGAAATAATTCCCGGTGTGTAAGTATTATTCACAACTGCAATTTTTGCCATTTATATGTATAAATAGCACTTGACTTCTCATATTTTTGTACGAGTTGTCTCATTTGTTTTGGAACATCCTGTCACTCAGCATTTCCAAGACACCATTAAAACTACTTCACTCACTGTCTGTACAGATGAAAACAGGGGCTCAGCTTTCCTCTAAGTCCCTAGTCAATCTTGTCATGTATTTGTAGACTGTGTTTTCGCAGAGGAAAACATTATTTTGAGGAAATTATGCAACAGAACCAAGAAGGGTTAATTATAAATAAAATTGTCATCAGTTACTATGAATTTCAAAGCATAATAGGAAAACTGATTAATCTAGAATACATTGCAAATCTACAGTCTTGTTCCAAATTCCTAGGTAACCTGGAAAGAAAATGCTGTTATTGACTCCTCACACATCAAAAAAAAAAAAAAAAAGATTGATTTTTTTCATATATTGGCTAACTTTACTTATTCAACTGTTCATATGTAAGAAATTAATATTATAGCTATTGATACAACTTCTATAAAGAGTCTTTTAAAGTGAAGGTGCTTTTTATTATTTTCATTAAAGGAAAAATTTTACAACCAGAGAAGTTCTTGGGATTGGAGCTGAAACCATGAGTATTTGCATGAATAGTACTGCTTAGTAATAGTATAGTCTACTTGGTGTATAAGTGCAAGCTAGTAAAAGATAAGAGGAGAGAAATTTTTGGTATATTTAAAAGAAGATAGGCTCTGGCTGGGTCGTTCAGTTGGTTCGAGTGTCATCCCAATATACCAAGGTTGCAGGTTCAATCCCCAGTCAGGGTAAATAGACGTTTGTTTCTCTCTCTTTCTCTCCCCCCTTCCCCCCAACCCCACCCCTACCCCCTGTTCTCTCTGAAATCAATAAACATATCTATTAAAAAATAAGATATTTTTATACACTTTAAAGTGTATTTGAAATATAAATACATGAGTTCTGTCTGGAAAAAGTCAGCCATTGTTAATATAATGACAGCGGTTTGCATGACATTAGTGTAATCACACAGCCAAGGACAGTGGACCGGAATGCACATGTGTGAACAATGACAACTTCACTGTACTAGTCAATGGGGGCAGTAGATGCCATTGAGTGAGCATGTGTACTGTGTGGCTGTCACATTCAAAATGACCGAGTGAGCAGAGCAAGGAATCTGTGTCAGATTTTGCATTAAGCTTGACCATTCCTCCATGGAAACTATCAGATGATTCAGAAGGCCACAGCTGTGGGCAACTGGTGATTGGCAGCTTCATCATGACGATGCACCCACTCGTGTATCACGTCTTGTGCAGCGTTTTTTGGTGAAACATCAAATCATTGAGGTGACTCAGCCACATTTTAGCCCACATTTGGTGCCCTGTGACTTCTGGCTTTTCCCAAAACTCAGATCACCTTTGAAAGGGAAGAGATTTCAGACCATCAGTGAGAATCAGGAAAATAAAATGGGGGTAGCTGATGGCAACTGAGAGAACTGTGTAGGGTCCTAAGGTGCCTACTTGGAAGGGGACTGAGGCATCATTGTCCTGTATACAGTGTTTCTTGTATGTTCAGCAGATGTTTGTTTTTGATGTTACATGGCTGGATACCTTCTGGACAAACCTTGTATATCTAACCTGAGATTATGGCGTTTGTTTTGATTATTTAGATATTATTTATCATGACAGTTTCTCAGTCTAATGGTAGATGTCCTGTTAACATGAATTAAACCAAGCCAACCTTTTTTGGTTATTTTTCTTATGCATTTGTTTGAGCCTTATAGAAAAAAACATTAGAAATTGTATTACTGTGAAAAGACTGACTTTTCTGTTGAAATGAAGGAACAGTTTTTTGTGTGTACTCTGAAAGTTCACTTGAGTTTTCAGAATACTAGGTGTTGTAGTAGGCAAATGCACGGGTTGGCTTGTTGAATTGTGGTTGTTTACAGAAATCCAAAACTAGAAGCTCTCTTTAGCCCTTGGAAGGTTTTTATTCAGTATTATCTTTCATTTGTCATTTTTGGTATTTATTTTTTAATGCATATTCACTGACAGTTGAATTAAAAATACTGTATTTTGCCATATATAATGTGCACTTTTTTGCCCAAATTTTTTAGGAAAAAATAAGGATGTTTATTAGACATGGTTGTACTAATTCCCTATCTGTATAAGTGTGTTTAATTCTTCTATTTATGCTTATGCAATAAAAGCATAACTCTAGAAAGAAATAATGATATTCACATGCAAAATAATGCTCTGGAATACGATAATCTGTTTTGTTTTTGAATATAAGTGAATAAAAATATTGAATTAAAAACTTAAAACAAAGGTTTTCTTTTGTTTGGGCCAAAAACGTGGGTGTGCATTATACCCACATGTGCATCATACACAGCAGAACATGGTAGATACTATATATTTTAAAAGAGTTGTCAAGGAAGCAAATCTAATGAAAAGTAACATGAATGAAGTGAGACTCCTACAATTTTAATTAGGTTTTATAACTGAATAATGTTGGGGGGTACAACGTGATGTTGATTTTGTTTTTTCCATTAGAATTTTGGCAATGTCTGTAGATAATTTAGAAATCTTAGTACTCATATATTAACTGTTTAAATCTTCAATATGTTCTCTGGATATGACTTTAAAACACTATGAAATTACTATAGAATAAAGCTTCGATCACTTTATGTCTGAGTATATATTTTTAATTTTTAATAGGATACAACATCTATTGAAAAGATGTCAAACTGTTGTGAAGAAATGTAAGTATAAAAGTAAAGTTTGTAGTGTTCTTAATGAAAATGAAAATAACTGGCCACATTTGAAAAATAATGTGTGCATGTGGTGGATGGTGGAATGATGCTGTTTCTTCCTGCCTTGTCCAAGGCCTGAGCTAGACAGTCATAACCCTGCCTTACAGTGGGGTCTTCTGGCCATGCTAGTGTTCATAGGAAATAAGGACTGATCATTCTTGTTTCTGGTCTAACTAAAGTAAGTTAAATTATTTGTCCTGAAAGTACATCAAAAGAGATTTGCTACTGTGTTGTTGACACACATTCTGTTAATCCTGAGATTTTCCTCCGCTTCAAAAGTTGCTCTAGGTTGATTGACGACACAGATACAATATCTGCTCTCCAGAGTTAAAACTCAGCTGCATGCCGTAATGAAAGAAAAGCTGTGTTTGTGATGCTGGGACACAATTCATCAGAGTCCAGTAATGGATCCCCAGCCAACCTGTATTGTTTTAGTTGACTGAAGTGCACCATGGGAGTGCTGTCTTTCACTAATAATGCTGTCTTCTGTAGATCGAGGCCCCGAAAGCCATGGCAGCAGACCTTCTCAGAAGTTTTTGGCACTCGTTGGAAGATCCTGTGGTTTATTCCTTTCAGGCAGAGACAACCACTGCGAGTTCCCTACCACTTTGCCAATCACGTCTAAACAGATGGATGGTGGGCACAGATGGGTCCTCCATGCTGGAAATGCGTTACAGGTTTTCTGATAATAGAACGATGACAGTCTTCAAGTCAATTAAAATCCACCCACCAATCTGAGGCGTCATAATGTGCCCCAGGCTTTATTTTAATAGTGATCTTGATCCTGTTGTGGGACTAATACAAGATCTATATTTAAGTTTTAAAGCATGTTTACTTTCAAATTAGCTTTCCACAGGGATTTCTTAAAATGCTTTTGTTATTAAGCTCAAAAGGCAGTGATTGGATTGAAATCATTGTACATAATTTCTTTTAGATCTGACAATATTATAGATTTTTAATTTATGGGAATTTTCAGATGTTTATTTAAAATTTTCACTCTTAAACAGTACTAACCAAATCTGAATTTAATTCTTCAGGTTTTACACCTTACATGTAAATTTTCTTTTTCAAATACAGCTTAAAATATGTTAATACTTTCTTTTATATGTGCTGCAAGATTTTATTAAGTGCAGCGTAGGACTGAACAACAACAAAAGGGCAGTGTTTTCTCAGAAGTAGCTTTCTAATGTTCTCTTCACCAACAACAAAAACCCCACTAAATTACCAACTACCTACCTTATTTTAAAGGAAAAATCAATTTTTTTCATGTTCACATTTCCATTTCTTTCTCCTATACTGCTGTAATTTTCATTGCTGTTAATATATTTGCTTCGAGTAGACAATTTTGACTAAGTGGGCATGTATTCCTGTTTTACCCTAAGATTTTGTTGAGCAAAAGGAAAGCGAATATGCAGTAATTCCACAGATACCTTTTCTTGGTGCAGTTATGCCAGGATGTGTGTTTTTAAAATGCTGGTGTAGCCAGTAATGTGTACTGTACAGTATAAAGAGGAATGTTGTCCTTTTGAAAAAATACATATACTTTTTACTTTTAATTAAAAATACCTACTAGTAGATCTAAAATTACACACTGAAGGTTTACATATAATAAATATTGGCCAATTATTCCTGAAATTCTATCTATAGGAAATTACTAATAAAAATAAGTAAATAACTTTTGTATACCTAAATTACCCAAAATGAAATTAAATTTTAGTTAGCTAACTATGATTTGCATTGAAAGACCTTTTTGTAGCTAATGTTAGGAAATGGCGTTAAAATAAAATAATCTACATTTATTATTAGCTTTGTACAGATTTAAACTGCTCAGAGTGATGGGTCTCTTGGAAAGCATAGAACATTTGTTTGAAAAGACCTTTAGCATGCTTTGAACAAAATTCATTTTTAACATTTTTTCCATTAGAATATTGCAAAGTCCATGTGTCTTTTTTGAAAATTTTTATACACAGTCTTTCCCTTGAAGAGAAGATTGAAGGAGTCTACTTACTTGCAGCATATCAATAGTTTTTTTTTTTTTTTACTTAAATTTGATAGTAGGGAATCCTACCTGAGACAGATACTAAGCAACAGCTGCCATTGTCAGCGGGTTAACTCTACTGTGGTTACTTCTTTCAGAAACTGTAAATATCTTCTAAAATAATGGAATAAGCTGTTCTCAGAGATGTAAGTGCCATGTCTTACATGTTCTGACTATACTGTCTTATTACCTAAAAGTTTAGACGTGGCAGATTAAAATACGTATTGGTGCTGATAAGATGCATAGTAAATTTAATATGAGAAATGTATTTATAGAGCTTAATGAACCACATTAGTATGTTCACATCATGGGAGTGGGTTGGATTTTGTGCAGGCTAACATGTTGACCAAATTTGGCTTGGTGACAGGACTGTTATAAGGAAGTAATGTATAGGTAATATACAGGTAGATATCCATTGAATGCCCTAACTGTATACATTCCTTTCAAATGAGGACCTTGAGGAAACAAGAAAGGGAAGTGAAGATCCCTTAAAGAACTTTATAGGCTCAGTTATACTTCATCTAGTAGGAGGAGTGACCTGGAAACGTACATGGGAGCTGCTCAGAGCCAACTTCTTCCTCAATAATGAGAACCAGAGGTGTCCCTTTCACCCTACGAGGATTTTGTTTTTCTTAGATTTACCATTTCTAGAGCACATGCTCTTCCCTCTTTTCTCTATACCCTCTCTAGCCTGATCCCTCTGTGCCTGACTCCTCTGGTACTGCAATACACACTCATACACTAGGCAAGGCATATATTTATTTTGTTTGAATGGCAAAAATGGTACATATCAATATATGAATATATTTATATAAGACTCTATATTAAGGGATATATGTATATATCCCCAAATGCTTAACTGGGTTTTGTTAATCCTTGTTAAAGGAGGAAAAACTAACGGGCAGTTAGGTCTTCCTTGGGAGCACATGAGCTCTAGTGTTCTCGCTGCGCCCTCTTTTGGCAATTGGTGTAATTAGAGTGGATCTAGAGACTACTGCCCCACAAGTAAATTGTATAGCCAAAATCAGAACCTGTCAGAGGTACACTCCGTTAGGGGGAGTGTATGTACAGAACTGTTATGTTTTATGAAAATTAATGGTTTGTGTTTATGATATCACATCTAGTTCATACAAATGATGACTACTTTTGTTTTATTTATGTATATTATATTTTTTACTGTCATTTACACATTTAGATCAGATTAGGGTAAACAGATGTAAACCATTTTATGAATTTTACTTTATTTTTTAAACTTTTATTTTTATTTATTTTTGTTGTGTTTTTTCATTGCCATTTGTCTCTGCTACACCTTCCACCTCCACTGCCTCCCTCCCCCTCCCCTTCCCTGGCAATCACCACACTGCTGTGTCTGTGAGTTCTTTTGGCAAATTAAGTCCTTAGAATTAGAAAAGACAGAACTTTAAAATTACTATTTATTAGAAAACACAGAAATAATTTTAGTTACATTGGCAAGCAAGTATCTAATGGGTCTTACTGAATATCTAAAAAATACATTTAGTGTTTTTAATCTCAGTTTTGGAATCTTTTTTTTTTGCTGATTTTATTACACTAAAATAGTAGAAGGTTAATGATTCTTTTTATACTTCCATTCTTTTTTAATTTTTCTACTTAGAGTCATAGCTGTAGCTTTAGTAGCCAATTTATTATGTATTCTGTATAACCATGAAAATAACTAATAATGTGTTGAGTGTTAGAAAATAATTATGAGTCATGAGGTAACTGATACAGTCTGCATATTGGGTAAAGTAGTTTCTCACAAACATTTTATTCCATTTTAATAAGCAAAATATATTTTAAGGGATGTTTTACATCAGCAAAGTCATTAATTTGGCCTCTGGAAATGATTTTTACCTAGACATTGTATGTTACACCTCTCGAACAATTATATTTGTTGTTGTTGTTTTTTTCCTTAAACAAAAATCTTGAAGGGCTCAAGAGTGTAGGCAAAAATTGACTGACTTCACAGTCCCCCAGACAGTAGGCATTCAGCTAATGTGCTTTTGGTACTATGTAACCAAGACCGACAGTTTAAAAATATTAAGTTAACTAATGTTCCATTATAAGAAAAATACTATTTTGCTTAAGGGTTGTATTAAAAATACTTGTGGTTAACATAAGAGATAGCTATATTTAAATTTTTAATGTATTAATCTCTGTAACAGAAGAAAGCATAGTTTACTTTTAATAGTAAATAGGAGTAGAGAACATAAGCTACATAAAATTTAGTATAAAAGTAGAGGTAAAAGTTCTGTGAGAATGAACATTAGTAAATTTTTGCTAATATTTAGAGGTATTTTTTTCTAAGGATGGTAGCTAATTATAACTATTCTTCACCGGGCTTTTTCAAGTCACTTCCATACAAGCAGTTAGTTGAAAATATGTTTTACTTGAAAGGGGTTAATAATTCTGAGTGCTAATCATGAAGACTTTAGGACAACACTTTAGTCAGGAAGTGTGAAGTAACTTAGAGTATGGCCACAGTGTTCTATGTGTTAGGTCGGGGGGCAGTTCGAGTGTCCTCAGATGAATTGCTATAAAATCACAGTGTGTCCAGCCCTGCTTTACGGTGGCATTAATACTAACAAAGCTGCTAGCCTCCCCTACATTTTTCTCTGGTCTCTATACTTCCCTTACACTTCATGGAGAAATAGATCACCTAGCTCAAGTCTACTATTGCTGCTTCATTAAATAAGTTTTATACATGACCTCTACTATATATAGATCTATATAGAATTTATTTGATAAATTTATACTTACATTACCTAATTTACTAATAGATACAAATAGAAGTTTTTTTACCCAGTTCTACCACTGTGGTTTTCAAAAATGTAAGTATTGACAAATGTAGTTAGTAACTCATGCACATTTGGTATGTTCTACTTTCTAGTCTTGTTAACCTATAGTTAACAAATGAATTAGTTTATTATTTAATGTTCACACTTGTTACCTTCTATTTTAAGAAGCACCCTCTGAATTTATATCTAAATAACAAATGTCATGTTCTGAATTTAGCCATTCTCAATTGAATTCTAGAATAATCTACAGTAGAATGTGAAAAAGAAATAGAATCAGTTTGCCTAAAATATTTGGAACCAATGTCCTTATTCTGTGTATTACTGTTTAGCACTTCTGCTGCCTTCAGGGTGATGATGGTTTAACTCCAGGAAAGTGACTTTCTTCAGACATCCCCTTTCATTATTATTGTGTAGTGTTTAACAACAAAATTTACTGTGTTTTTGTCTGTTCTTTAGATGTTGTAATAGTGACTGCTAGTGCTAATTGGAAATAGAAATAACAATGGTATTTAAATTTCTTAAGTTCTGGGTATTGCCGATATTTTTCATTATCATTGTATTTTTTTACTTTCATGTCCTTTTCCCCAGTAAGTACAAGTGAGTAGTGAGTAGTCAAAATGGTAGAAAGGAATTAGGAGAACTGACAAAGACGGTGAGAAGGCCGGACAGAGAGCGTGGGGAATCAGCAGACTAGAACATTTCTGTGACGTCAGGAAATTCCCCAGCTGCCATCATTAGCCTTGTCTCTTGCTGATAACATTTTACTCTAAGAGTTCTTAATGCACGTGAGCATTTTAGTTTGAGTTATCTAAGGAATTTATATTGCTGATTCTCTTCAGCCGGTCAGATGCCTTTGAGAAATTATTTTAAATGTTAAATATTATAATTGCATAGGGTGTGGTAACAGGAATTGTTAAGAAAGTGCAGCTAGTTAGTGCTGAGGAGAAATACAGAAGTTGCCCAAAGTTTTAAAAAACCGGGACTCTTCACAAGTCTTGTGATAAGTTTGTGTATAAGGGGTGATTTTCACTTTAAAATTGTGCTGTTTTGGAGTTCTTGATACCTCCAAGGTCGTCTCCATACCGGTTAGTATTGTGAATACCTGTGACATGGAATGCGGTGCCTGCCACAGTTGTTCAACACTGTTCTTCTCAGTACTGATAGTTTTATGTATAAACAGTAGTGTGGATAAAATGGCAACAAAACAGGCATGTTTCTTGTTGTGGCTTTGCTTGCCTTTTTGACTACGTACAGGGTTTAATTGCATTGATTGTTAACTACAGGGAGAGGTTAGCTGCATATCACAAGCTCTGTGTTCTTGCCAGTGTTCATTGGGTGACAGTTTAACCTACCGGTGCCTGAAGTCAGTGTCCTCCAGCCTCGACAACTAAAACATCCTGGTGCTACTCATCAGCATGGAGTGACGTTTTTATTTCCTGTACCAAAGAGGTTGTTTTCTTTTTGGTTAACTGAGAGTTTTCATCTGACATCCTTATGTTTATAAGGTAGAATTTAATGTTACTAAGAACAATTTTGATTACTGGATCTTAGTTTTTACACACTGCTGCCTCAATTTAATTGGTTTTAAATGCCTCCCATTTGAACTTTTTTCCTGAGTTAGGAAGATTAGTATGTTTTTTCATTTGGTATTTTTATACAGATTGGCTACTTTAAAAAAGTAGTTTCATGGGTTGAAGTTGCAAAAGATAATCTTCCCACAAGATATTTTGGTTGTGCTTTACTTCTGCAGAAATACATGAGAACTAGTAAAAAGTATACTTTCATTTCTGTAAATGAACTGAATAGCTTATTGGGCCCTTTTCATGAATGCTGAAACGGAAAGGTCAGGGTGCTTTCTGATCACAAGTGAGGAATTCTGCATCTCTCTGTGTATAATCCTTAATGCCACTAAAGAATGATATTGTCTGTTTTGCAAACAAAGATAAAGAACACTTTAAAAATATACATATATATATATATATATAAACATTTCCCAGGAAGAAATGCAAATGTACTTGATTTAAACAAAACTGTAATAGAAAATTGAACTCGACCAAAAAAAAGTCTCTATGTTGTTACTCACTTCACATAAAAAGTTGAGTATTTTAAAAACTACTTCTGTTTAGTGATTCATTTTACAAACAAATGGGAAAAAAAACCCTTTAGAGATACTTGTAGTTGTCGAAATATAATATTGCTATGTTTACTATTCTGGTTTTCTATGTTTTTCCATAAATTTTAAAGACATTCATTGAGTGTCCTTAAAACTGTGGCTGAAATGCTTTAAAGTCCTGGCGAGAAGGTAACAGTGTATATGTAGAGGAAAAGTAGTCCCGTTTCAGAATGTTTTGCATCATTTTCACTAAAAAGTTATCTCATTGAATGTAGACATGATACATGGTTTTGCATTGAATTCTGAATGGAAAAAAGGAATCAAGTCTGAAGCTTACATTAAATATGACTTAGGATCATGTAAACGATAACATAGAAATAAAGATATATATGTTGTTAGAGGTAAAAGCAAAATTTGAAAACAAAATGGGAAGAAGCAACATGATGTCTCTCTAATTGTCAACAGTGTATTCCCTGCATATTGTTGCCACAGTATCAGTCCTGAGTTGTTTGGCTTGTTTATGTGTTATTTAAATTACTGGGGCCGAATACAGTGTTTGTTCAAGTAACTGGATAGTGGAGTTCTCTACTACTCTGTCTACCACAGATGAATAATGAAAAGAAATTTCTACTTTAGCAGTGGTAGAATAAAGCAAGTAAGTGATATAATAGGAGGAGTTTCCACCACAGAGATGCTTGGACAAGTGAGCTGCAATTCTGAGGAGGAAGGATTGGGTCTTGGGCGGACCGAGCCACGGGTATTGTGCTCGTGTGAGCTTTATGTCCCTGCAATTAGTCTTTAAAAATCTGACCAACGAGTGTAATGAATAGGCGAAGTCTGTGATATTTACAGACTCCTAAAATTTTGTATCAATCTCAAATTGTCTAATATTATATATCCCTAAACAAAGGACTTTTATTTTAATAGTGGTATGTTCCAAGTGCCATGTATCTTATTTTTTGATTAGGTAATTATTTCACTCAGTGCATATGTTTACATGTGAGTGCTGTTCCGCTGCACTGTCTGTTTTTCCTTGTCTATTCCCCTAAGAACATTTAAAGAAAATCTTCAGTAACATTTGTAATGCTAATGGTAATATGGGTTATAGTAATTGAGAAATAAACTAGATTGAGAAGAGGGAGGGAAAAATGTACAAGTGTGAGCCATGTATCTGAGATAATACTTGTTTAACTGAAGCATCTACACTGGTTCTTAAAATGAAAAACAAGCTATGTGTCTACCTTGAGGATAATGTTTTTTAATTTATTTTAGTGATTTAGTTTTATTCATGTAATATTTCTGTTTTTCTTTGCAGATTGTTTTTAATTTAAATCATGGAATTTTTACTTCTCTTGAAATGTATTATGTAATGTATTTTTAGAAATCTTATTTTTAAATAAATATTTTTTGAAAACAAAGGACTGTCTTTTCCCCCTTTCTTTATTAAAATTAAAATTCTAGATTTTAGCACTATCAGTATAATAGGCCAAGTTTTTTTTTTTTTTTTTAGTTTTATGCCATTTAGATGCATTCAAAATTATAGCCTTAGGATGCTATTCTGTAACCTCAAAATCTGTTACATATTCAAGAAGAATTAGGTATATGTGCTTGGGTTAAAGTCGACAAACTCAATATTCTGAGTGAGGTGTATTTGTCTTAGAGATGACCCAAATGGCTAGATTTAGTACACAATTTATTTAACATTTTCTGTGTCCAACACTATTTTCTGGAAATACTTGTTTTTTGAGGAGTAACGTACATAAAATGCGTAGTGTTTAACTATATGTCTAGGTATCATTTTAGATGTAGAAATATTGAATTACTTAAAGCCTTTGCTGCAATGGAGTTACATTCTCAGTGGTTCTGGACATCTTTTCACTGACACATTTCCAGAATTGGAACTTGTATGTGGGAGTTGTCACAAAGTGCATATTAATTAGCATTAATTCATCAACAGTGTCATCTGAAAAGAGAAATCATTGTATGGAGAAACAATGAAAGAGCAAAATTTTCCCTGAGGGTGAAAGATAGGGCTTGACTGTATTATCAGACTTTTTTCTTAAGTTTTTATTGCCATGAAAGTAATGTTGATAAGTATCCTGGGTTAATGCATAAATTAAATGACCTGGTAGAGTTGCATATACAAGTATAAACTTTGTCGCATTGGTAAATCAAAGCATATGGTTGCATTTCCGACAAAATTTCAACCATTTAAAAGCTTTAAAACTTGTTCATTTTCCAGTTTCCTTTGCTGTGATTCTAAGCAGCATTTACACTAATTATGATTTCTTAGTGATGATAAATTATGATTCTCATGATTTTTGGTCTCAAAACTTCTTTACACATAAAAATCATTTCAGTCTCCAAAGAATTTTTGTTTATGTAGTCTGTCTTCATCAGTATTGACTTTATTTTAAATTAAAACATGTATTTAAATGCTTATTTATTAGTTTTTTTAACATAATAATAAACCCATCACGTTAACAATGTAGTTTTATTTAGAGACCCATGATTTTACATTGTTTGCAGATCTTTAATACCTGCCTTCACAAAAGAAAGTTGCATTCCTGTACTGCTTTTGCATTCAATCCATTGTGTTGTTTTTCTGGTTGAACTCTGGAGAAATTCAGTGTCATGCAAATATACTACAGAAGCTCCTTGACTTAATGATGGGGTTATGTCCCAATAAGCCCATCATATGTTGAAAATTCTGTAAATGAAAATGCATCTAACTCATGTAAACTACCAAATATCATGGTTTAGCCTGGCTAGTTTCCACTGAATGTGTATTATTTTTGCACCATCTTAAAGATGCAAAATCTTAAGTTGGGGATCATCTTCACTTGGAAAAAAGGAATTATATGTATATATATATATATATATATATATATATATATATATATGTTTAATTTTTTTATATATTATAATATATATATATATATATATATCTCCTCACCCAAGGGCATGCTTACTGATTTTAGAAAGAGGGAGAGAGGGAGGGGGAGAAACATCAATGTGAGAGAGAAACATAGATTGGTTGTGCCTTGTACATACACACTGTGATTGGGCACCAAACCTGCAACGTGGAGGAATCAAACCTGTGACCTTTCAGTTCATGGGATGATGTTCCAACCAATTGAGCTACCATCCCACTGAGCCACGCCAACCAGGGCAAAAAGGAATGTTTTAATAGTCTTTTCAAGTGACTGCACTTTTGTGATATAACACAAAATCCCAACATGTGATGTGTTTTCAAAGTTTGGTTGCAATTTTGGACCAGAAACAATACCAAGAAATGTTTCATACTCTGTTACATTAAAATCTATTAGTCCCTTTTTTACTTTGGAAACCTCTTAACCCATACATGACTTTGTGACTTCATTCATTGGTCATTTGGAAATACTGGAGTAATCCAGGTCTTCCCAGTGTTGACACATTTCATTCTATAAATTAGATTAAATTAAATTGGATTTAATTAAAAATTAATTTTTAATTAAAAAAATTAATACTACCACTTCCTGCCAGAAAAGTAAGTACTGGCAAGCTGTTAAACTCATAATGATGTTACATTTTTCAAAATTCTAATTTTTCACTGGAAGACTTGAATGCTTTCAGCAGTAAGTACATCCTGTCAGTGGTTTTCCTTTAAGTGACACATTCACTTCACTCATTTTTGAGAAAATATACCCACGTGAAAAAAGCATAGTTTGTCAGCTGTTCTTTCAAGTAAAAAAATGTGATTCCAGGAAAAACACGGCTAGTTCAGCTTGCAGCTCAGTCACCCCAGTGGTTATCCTCAAAGATAAGCAATCCTACGTTGGAATGCAGGTGAAATGCTCTGTGTACTGCCCATGTTGTCAAACAATGTGAAAAATAACCCAAAATTCAAGGTTTAATGAAGTTAATCACTTTTACTGACTCATCAAGGGTAGTATTCAATATATTATTTGCATTTGTATATTCTGGCTTTTGAAGCACTTAAAACATAGCATCCTTAAAGATTCACATCTATTTAGCTTTGTTATAAAGAGACAAAAACTAAAAGTACCTGGTAATATTTTAATACTGCAAAATCATGGGAGAAGCTGCCAGATACTGTAGATAAACAGATGCATACAGATTCTGCTCTAGGCTGACCAATTACCCCTGTGAGCTATAGTTATATTAGCATGCAAGGGCAATTGGAGGGAGAATTGGACCCTGTGGACATCCAGCTGAGCAAACAGGACTGAGGAAGGGTAGAGGATGTGTGAGTTTGGAAAAAACACATCTAAGCCTGCTAAAAAAAATATTTGTATCAGTCACAGCACATTCTTTATATGTCCTCTGGCTTGCCTAGTATTTTTCAAATTAGCCCTCTTTTCCAAACAAAAGAGCACCTCTGCTTAAAGATCAGACCCTCAAATAACAATGTTTTGCACATACAAAAACCGGGATGATTCAGGAAATACAGAACCTGGAATACGTATATCCAAACATTCAGATGCTACTTGTACATGTGCTTAAAGTGTGTGAGTAGCAGTAGTTTACTTGTGGCATGATCTGGATAATATCCTTTTTTTTTTCTAATTTCTTTTTTTATTGATTATGCCATTACAGTCGTTCTATTCCCCCCTTCATTCCCCTCCACCCTACCCCCCTACCCCTACCATTCCCCCCCTTTAGTTTATGACCATGTGTCTCAAGTTCTTTAGATTCTATATTTCCCGTACTATTCTTGCCCTCCCCCTTATCTATTTTCTACCTACTGTCTATGCTACTTATTTTCTGTACCTTCTCTCCCCTTCTCCTCCTCACTCCCCTGTTGCTAACCCTTCTTGAGATCTTCATTTCTATGTTTCTGCTCCTGATCTAGCTGTCCTTTTAGTTTGCTTTTGTTTTAGGTGTGGTTGTTAATAACTGTGAGTTTGCTGTCCTTTCACTGTTCATGTTTTTTTTAACTTCTTTTTCTTAGGTAAGTCCCATTAACATTTCATATAATAAGGACTTGGTGATGATGAACTCCTTGAATTTGATCTTATCTGAGAAGCACTTTATCTGTCCTTCCATTCTAAATGAAAGCTTTGCTGGATAGAGTAATCTTGGTTGTAGGTCTTCAGATTTCATGACTTGGAATACCTCTTTCCAGCCCCTTCTTGCCTGTAAGGTCTCTTTTGAGAAATCAGCTGACAGTCTGATGGGAACTCCTTTGTAGGTGACTGTCCCCTTATCTCTTGCTGCTTCTAGGATTCTCTCCTTTATTTTAATCTTGGCTAATGTAATTATGATGTGCCTTGGTGTGTTCCTTCTTGGGTCCAACTTCTTTGGGACTCTCTGAGCTTCCTGGATTTCCTGGAAGTCTATTTCCTTTGCCAGATTGGGGAAATTCTCCCTTATTATTTGTTCAAATAAGTGTTCCACTTGTGGGTATTCCTCTTCCCCTTTTGGTACCCCTATAATTCGGATGTTGGAGCATTTAAAGATGTCCTGGAGGTTCCTAAGACTCTCCTCATTTTTTTTGAATTCTTGCTTCTTGACTCTTTTCTGTTTGGCCATTATTTGCTTTCTTCTGGTCCACTCCATTGATTTGAGTCCCAGTTTCCTTTTCATCGCTATTGGTTTTCTGTGCAATTCCATTCATTTCAATTAGTTTCACCTTCATATGTTTGTCTAATTTGTGGCTATAATCAACCAGTTGTGTGAGGATCCTGATCACCAGTGTTTTAAACTGTGCGTCTGAGAGTTTTGCTATTTCTTCATCGCTTAGATTTATAGGCTCTGGGGCTTTGAGATCTTCTTGAGCCATTTTTTGGTCTGTTCGTGCCCGTTAAGTTTGAGTAGTGGCGCCTTCGACTCTCAGGTCGCTGGGTTGTGACGCTGTATGTGGGGGCGTGGTCAGAGCAGGGAAATGGCGACCCCCTCTGCTGTTTTATGCCGCTGGGTGAGGAGCAGAACCTAAGGTGGTTCACCAGGGCGGGGCCACTCAGGTCGCTGGGTTATGACGCTGCATGTGGAGACAGTGTCAGAGCAGGGAAATGGCGGCGCCCTGTGCTGCCGCTCGCTGTGGGGCCTGCTCAGTCCCGTAGTCTCACCGCCTACTCCCTCGCTTGTCTATCTGCGCAGGAAGGTGAGACCACAGTCAACCCACAGCCCTGCTCCCTCGCTGTTTCCCTGCGGTCGCTCGCTGAGTCGCTTACTAGGTCCAACCCTGCGCCTGGGTTCTGCGCACCCGAGTCCGTCTGACCGAGTTTTCCTGTGCAACCCCGCTCCGACAGCTGCTGGTTTCGCCCCTCTTACCGGTTAGGCTGAAGAATTTGTTGTTATCGGACTTCCGAAAAGTTCAATTTTCTGTGTTCTGGCTGTGTTTTCTGT